AAAAACCAGAGATACGGAGCTAACCAACGATGTGTAGGGTACTTAAGCTGAGAATTGTGGCGGCTATCTACTTCTATAGGTGAACGCGCCGAAAAGCGCGCTCGTCGTTGCTTAGGTAATTTTTTACAGCGAGACATCCTCCTCGGACGAGCGATATAATCCTTGTTACTTTCAATGAGTGTTGGGAACAAGTGTTTGTCGCATGTGAAGAAGTATGTCGCGCGATTGTCTCACTTTCCAACTCTACTCCCCGATGACGCGTAGTCAGTCGAGAGAATATGAGTGACATCGTGTTTAAATAGGCACGCGCCGTTAGTAGTCTCCAAGTAGGCGCACAACCATAATTAGCTTCTCTAGAGAGTGAGAGGAGGACCTGCGTGTTGGCCGCGTCTCCTCACTCTTGTTTCTGCTTCTTAATCAGTAAGTGTAGCTTAACAAGATGTCTCGCGATACGCGAAAGAAAAGTCTCTCCAGCCTCCCGCCCGCCCTATTTCAAACAGTGCGTGCTACCTTCCGCTGTGCCCCGGTCCGTGCGGCTCGCGAGTAAGATAAGCGCGCGCGTGTCTACTATCGAAATGGCCAAAGGCGCGCCCGCGCAAAAATTAGGCATGAATCGCAAACGACATGCGTCCATAATGCAGACACTTGAGAGATAGCTGTAACCAAATCGTTAAACGCCGCGCTATAAGAGACAGTTGTATAGTTCGCGCGCCTCGACAACATGAAATGACACGATACTTTTTGAGACAGATTTTCATCTCGTTGATTTACGCGCTATAGTAGCGCACGAAGCTCAAACTCCATAAGAATATGCTGATAGGGGTGGCAAACGACGTGCTCTCTCGTCAACAGAATGAAGGAGAGCACAAGACTAGATTTATACGTACACACAACTATTGGAGCTACTGTTCGACGCGCCTAAGCAGGAGCATCACTGTTCTGTTTCTAGCAGAGTATCGCGAACATCATACAGCTGTCCTAATAATAGACAAGTGCTGTCATTAAAAAAGCAAAAATATACTGATGTCCCTAGCTCGTGTTGTCTGACGATATAGTAGCTACGTTCGCTCGAGTTAGGTTTGACCACGACGCGACATAAAAAACGTGAGAAGTCATATATGTAAAACGCTGTGCGGAACCGAAGGGGACAGCTCGAGATCGCCCGGTATCACTCGAGATCGACCGAAGAAGGAGCACGAGACTAACAGAGTAACACAAGGGGACAACACAAGAGACGGAGGGACCGGGGTCCGACACAGAACAGCGACACTAATGGAGCGACATTCGCAAAGTGACACGGAAATCCACGAACAGCAAGAGCGCTGAGACAGACATAATAAGCGGACCTAGAATTGTGGGCGACTGTCCGAGAATCGTCGTGTACTCGCCCCCGTCCCAAATGAGACCCAACGTGAACCGTATATATGTGAAATAACGTTAACTGCGTCGGTAGGTGCGTACCGCATTACAGTGACCCCTGTACCAAGACGAAGGGG